AAAACTTTATTTATTTATTTATTCTATTTCTTTTCTTGATTATTTTTTCTATTCTTTCTCTTTCTTCCTATTATTCATATCTTTTTTCAATTAAAAAAATAAAAATAAAAATAAAAATAAATCGAAGAAATTAAAAAAACGAAAAGTAAATTCTTGCAAAACATACATGTTGACTTGTCAAATTTAAAAAAACTGACGTCTTTCAGAAGTTCTACACAAAAGCAGTTCTTATTAAAATTTTATTATTATCATGTTATTTGAAAGGCGATCAAATAATACAGAAAATTCCAGCGTCTTTTTCTCTCTCACGACATGAAAAAGAAGATGTATTGAAGCTTTTTATTAAGAAAACAAGATAAAAGGACGCCAATACTTTTGGTATGCCCTAAATATATATAGCACAATAGACCTAAAATTAATGTGTAAATGAGTATAGATATACAAATCGGCTAAATAAAAATTTTCCTCTTATATATGTCAGTCTATTTTGTCTATTAAACTAGCTGATGTTTGACTGTGTAAGTGTTTTGTGTACATGAAATTATCTAGGAAAAAGAGAAAACAGTTCTGGAATATTGATGCTGTGTATCTTAAATGTTTCCTAACAAAACATTATCGATGAGGAATACATGAGGGTGTGGGTGTGCGTGTCGTTTAAAGAAAGACCAGTTACAACCACACTCACACCCTTCGAGATGTAGAACAGTAGTTCTCGCTAACAAAAACCATGATCAATGACCTCTTTTCCTATACATATAGGCAAGTTAACTTGTCAACAAAAAACCACTGCCATACATTTCAGGAAAATGGGTCATATTTTTTAACTATAAGAGCTAGAGAGGTCGGCCTTTCACCATTTTTGTAGATAGGCCTCCGGGCTATCTTTTACACATTTAAAACTTAAAAGTCATCATAAGAGTGAGAAAACTGTTTACGAAATATTCAAAGATTGATAAAAAATATCACCCGAAATGATGATGATTTTTTTTGTCATTTATTAGTGACTGCATAGAGGAAACCAAGGCCTACACAATGGTGAAAATCGCAGCTCTCTATCTCTTTCCATTCTTGAGTTATTGCAAAAATATCCATGGTCATCTTATTATTGGACAGACAATAGTTCAATTTATCCCTTACTTACTAGAACATTTTGTAGTTTTCGATAGTGAAAATTTGTATGACAGTCAATGTAATTGATTAATTATGCATTTGACTTGTATCAAGTTTTGAAACTTTAAATATGTCACTTGGGATATATGTGGAATTGACTCTTCTTAGATTATACCGTTCAATTAACGAACACAAACATGACGATTCGTGTAGATGAAATGATCTTTGAAATGATTCTTACAACAATTCTAATGCTTGATCTCAATAGGATTTTTAAAAAATTTTTTACTTTATTTCTGAATAAAATGTCTAGCAGATAACTCGAAATATTAGAAAAACTAAATTGAAAATTATGAAGTTAACATATCTTTGAAAGAAGTAGCACAGTGTCCGTATCATAGTTTGCTACAGCAATATCCATCCAATCGTTATTGGTAAATTTTCCAAAAGTGACCTTATTCGGATGAGCACCATATCCAACTGAATATGTTGTTTGCTTTTTCAAAGTTCCATTCCCATGTCCTTCAAACATGCCAACATTATTAGCACCAAAATTTGCAACTACGATATCCAAGATCTGATCACTGTTGAAATCACTTATCGCAACGGAGACTGGACGTGAGCCCTTTTCAGTTGAATACATTGTTAATGCTGCAAAAGTTCCATTATAATTTCCAAAAAAAATACCAATATTATCAGTTCCAGAATTGGCAACCACAATATCTAATAAAGTATCATTGTTAATGTCACCTAATGCTATTCCCAATGGCTGAGATCCACTGCCTGTTGAATAGGTTATCATATTGTTAAAATTTCCATTACCTTGTCCTATAAGTATACCTATATTATCAGTACCATAGTTGGCAACGGCAATATCCAGCCATTTGTCATTGTTGAAATCACCAACAGCAATGGAAGATGGTTTAGATCCTTTATAACTTGGCAAAGTCTTTTGACTACCGAAGTACTTTTTACCAGTTTGTAGCAATATCCATAAATTGTTTCCATTCGAATCGACAAAGGCTAGATCCAATCTAGTATCATAGTTAAAATCACTAACGAGAATTCGGTATAGAGCAAGGCTAGCATCATTCACATATAGTGTAATACTCATGAAGTATCCATTGCCGTATCCAAAAAGTACGCCTACATTACCATTAGCGCTATTGGCGATAGCAATATCAAGATAACTGTCATTGTTAAAATCACCAAAGTTGAGATTTTGTGCACCTCCAACAGATCCAGTTTTATAAGTCATTACAGATGAAAAATCACCGTTCCCATACCCAAGAAGTATACCTATATCACCGGTACCGTATAAAGCAACAGCAATATCTAGTATAGTGTCATTATTGAAATCTGCAGCTGCAGCATAATATGGAGTAGTACCAATGCCGCTTGCATAAGTTTTTATGTCTTTAAATCTTCCGTCTCCATATCCAAAAAGTATGCCTATACTATTAGAAACAGCATTGGCTGTAAGAATATCCATGAAAGTATCGTTATTCAGATCATAGACAGTTACTGAAGCTGGACCAGAACCCTCCCCTGTAGAATAGGTCTTCACGCTATCAAATCTCCCATTTCCATAACCAAGAAATATACCAACACTGTCAAGTCCATATTTAGCAATGACAATATCAAAATAATTATCATGATTAAAATCACCGAAGTTGATAGATGTTGGTCGTGAAGCGAATCCAGCTGAGTAAAATAGGGGTGCTGCAAAGGTTCCATTACCATATCCAAGAAGAACAGCTATACTATTTAGACCCCAGTTAACAGTTGCAATATCGAGATAATTATCGTTGTTAAAATTACCAAGGATAACTCCTCTAGCACGTGATCCAGTTATATGTATATTAGTTTGCAGTGCAAAAGTTCCATCACTGTGTCCAAGAAAGATGGCCAAATCGTTAGTGCCATAATTGCAGACAACAATATCAAGTCGATTGTCATTATTCAGATCACCAATTTCGGCACTACTCGGAGCAGAAAGATAACCTGTAGAATAAATTACTTTATTTTCAAAAGATGAATAATTGAATCCCATCAGTAGACCTATAGTATCTGTTCCTTGATTAGTAATAACAATATCTAATAGATTATCGTTGTTGAAATCACCACTTGCTAATGAGTTTGGCTGAGATCCAGAGCCAGTCCAAATGGCTGTGTCAATCGCAAAAGTTCCATTTCCTAGTCCCACAAATATGTTTACATAGTTACCAATAGACTCGGTAACAAACATATCCAGGCAATTGTCATTATTAAAGTCATGAAGAATCACATCAAGTGGTCGTGAGCCGAGATCCATTGAATAGTTTATTTCATTTTTAAAAGATCCATTACCATATCCCATTAGTACATCAAAATTTCCTTTTCCTGAATTAATGACGACCATATCTAAGTGCGTGTCATTGTTCAAGTCGCCAACGGCAATTGAAGATGGATGTGTACTATATCCGATTGAATATACTTTTTCTATTTGAAAATCTGAATAATAATCTCCTAATAGTAATCTAAGCATATCGCTCGTTTCTCTTCCACTTATCGCAGAAAAATTAGCCAAATTATTATCTTGAAAATTCCCAGTAGTACTCGAACCATTTTGGAAGTTGGAGCGAGCTGAGTATATTGCTTGAGATGCATTTTTTGTATTCGAATGCCCAAGTAATACAGCAATATTATTTGTGCCCCTGTTAAGCACAACAATATCTAGATGATGATCATTGTTGACATCAGCAATAGTAACCGAATTCGGATGAGAATTATCACCAGTAGGAAATAATATTTGACTTGCAAAGGTGCCGTTCCCATATCCAAGAAATACGCCTACATTGTTCGAGCCATAATTGGCAACGACAATATCGAGATGCCCATCATCATTCAAGTCACCAATATCGAGAGCGCTTGGACTCGATGTTTTACCAGTTTCATACATAATTTGTGCTTCGAAAGAACCGTTCCCACAACCGAGAAAAACTCCTACATTATTTGCAAAGGTATTGGTGATGACGATGTCCAATAGATTATCACCGTTAAGATCATTCATTCGTATATACTGCGGCGATGAACCATATAAAGTTGAATAAGTTACTGGAGCTGCAAAACTCCCGTTATCATACCCAAGAAAAATACCTATATTATCTGTGCCAACATTCACACTAGCAAGATCTAGATTATTGTCATTGTTAACATCACCCACAACGATACAGTATGGACGAGCACCATCACCAGCTGTAAAAGTCGTTACAGCACCAAAACTGCCATTCCCATATCCAAGAACTATGCTTAAACTGTTCGGACCATAGTTAGCAAAAACAATATCTATTTGATTGTCTCTATTAAAATCACCAACAGCAACGGATATTGGACTTGAAGCTACACCGAGAAAATACAAGCGAATATTTGCAAACGTTCCATTACCATATCCAAGTAGCAAACCAAAACTATCACTGTGAAAATTAGCAACAACAATATCTAACTGGTTATCGTTGTCGATGTCGGCAATCGCAAGTGCCACTGTTTGTGATTTATCTCCAGTAGGATATACTACTTGACTCGCAAAACTTCCATTTCCTATTCCAAGAAATATACCAACATTGTTAGTCCCGCCATTCGCAACAGCAATATCCAAATGACTATCATTATTAAAATCAGCAGTAACGATACCATATGAGCGGGCACCTGACCCAGTAGAATATGTACTTTGAGGCTTCGACGGCTTTGTCGCATAGTCAGTAAGTAAAAGTATACTATTTGTTTCAGCATTCGCTACGACAATATCCAATTGATTATCTTTATCAAAGTCACCATTGGCGATTCCAAATGGACTTGACTTAGAGCTAATTGAATGTATGATTTCTGTTTCAAAAGATTCATTTGCATATCCAATCAATATGCTTATATTGTAACTACCCGTATTAGAGACGGCTATATCTAGTTGATGGTCATTATTGAAGTCCCCTACAGTCACGTAAGATGGTCTAGAGCTAACACCAATGAAATATGTTTCTTGCTTTTCAAAGCTTCCGTTTCCATACCCAAGAAATAAGCCAACATTGCCAGTGCCTGAATTCGCGACAACAATATCCATTTGTTTATCATCGTTTAAATCACCAGTAGCAATCCCATATGGATATGAACCTAAACCAGTTGAAAAAACCGTAGCCGGAGCAAAAGTTCCATTCATGTATCCAAGAAGTATACTAATTCCATGAGTATCATAATTGGTGACTGCAATATCTAACTGATAATCATTGTTGAAGTCGGCAACAATGATTGAATATGGAATAGAACCACCTATCGAATAAGTCACTGGAAAGCAGAAAGATCCATTACCTTGTCCCAATAATATACCTACATTGTTAGTACCATAATTGGCGACAGCAATATCCAGATGATGGTCGTTATTAAAATCACCAACGGCGATCGATTTTGGACGAGAAGCACCAATTGAAAATGTCGATTGGTTTGTAAACGTACCATCATCATATCCAAAAAATATAATTATACTGTTAGTATCGAAATTTCCAACGATAATATCAAGTCGACAGTCATTATTGACATCCTCAACTGTCACACAAATGGGACGTGAACCAGAGCCAGTTGAATAGGTCTTCTGATTAGGAAAGGTTCCATTTTCATGATTGAGGAACACACCGATAGTATCCATACCATTATTTACTACAACAATATCCAACCATGTATCATTGTTGAAATCACCCACAGCTACAGCAAGTGGATGTGGATAGTATCCAATCGAATTTCCAACTACCGATATGAGGGTTAATGAGCATAGTTTGTCTAAAAAACACCAACAAAATAAGTCTAAGATTAGATAATATCAATAAGTCTGATGGCATATAATAAGAACTGCAAAATCCTAACAAAACTTCTCAAACCCACATCCTACTTATTCTTAGTTCGAAAATAATTAATTAACGGTCACTATGCTTCTCTTTTGACATTTTGAGTTAGAGTAGAATTCCAAATATGAAGATTGGTATAGAAACGTTTGCTCTACAAAACCTACTAAGCCACTAATCTGGGAAGTTTGTTTCAAATCAAGGGGAACAAACTGATTTCTAACGCTAGAAATCACAAGAAATCACGAGAAATCACAAGAAATCATGGAAATCACTAGAAATCACCAGAAATCACTGGAAATCACAGGAAATCAGAAATCATCGGAAATCGATATATAGACTACATTTATCAACTTGTTCAATGTATCAGACATCAGAGAAAAATATCCAATATTCTTTTATTTTTACTTAATTTCTATTAAATTTGCCGCAAAAATTGTACTCGTTCTGCGGTTAGTTAGTTACTAGAGGTTTTAATTATAAAACAACTGAAAGTTTCTTATATTCGTTATTTCATAAAGTAGTCATAGATTAATGCAAAAAATCTTATAGATGAATGAAACATGATCGAATAGTAATTACTACGTAGTTGTCGTTCAACCTAGATATCTAGGACTTGACTGTCTCATGTCTCTTATTATCTGTTCTCTTTCTCAAATAACTGACCGAAGGACACATTTTCGTTCGTGTTCATTTCTATCTTCGTCTTCTTCAACGAACATCGTCTTACTGTTTACTTGGTTTTCTTCATATTTACTTTTTATTTTTATTGAACAATGTCAAATATGTCCTACCGAAGTTCTAGTTTGCCTAATAATGTTTTTGAATTTGAAAATGATGAATTTTTTGAATTTGGGAGATCTTTTTCTGGCGAAAAACTGGCTATTCTTCTTCAGTTTCAAGAAATTACTGATGCACAATGTTTTCTCGATTGTGAAGATCCTTTTGAAATTTTATCGTTCGACTCAGATGATTTACTTGATTTAAAAAAGAAATTATGTGTTAAATTGAATAATAATTCGTTTGCTATTTTATCTGGAATCAAGAGCAAAATGAAACTGTTAAAAAATGCATTAATAAAAAAACGAAATCAACTTAGAAAAGAACCATCGAAAACATCTACAGATAGCGTTGCAATAAATAATACACCATCAATTATTTTGACAGCTGAAAATCTTACTTGTTCTTCAAACTCGTCGACTCAGTCGCAAATAAATATCTCTTCGTCTTCAGCTGTTACTTTAACAATCAATGATGAACAAAAACAGCATATAATCCATTTACTCGATGAATGGTGTGAGAAAATAAAAGAAGATAACAACGAGCAACATATTAAACTTAAAGAAGGTGTTGACTATGAACTCATTGTCAATTATATGCCAAATAAGACACTGATCAAATGTCGATGCGGTACAAATACAACTTTAGGAAAAAAAAATAATAGTTATATCGTAAGTCACTTCGCTTAATAACTAATCGTTTACTTCATAAAAAAAGATAGAAAAACACTGTTAGGATGGCCATCTATTATAGATGGACGATCCTCCTCTTAACGTCGCATATATGCATAACTATAAGTCAGATATAATTATGTGTGATAAGACACACACCAGTAGTTCTCATATTGTTTTTCCCTTGTTGGTTAAATATATATTATATTGTTATCCGGTTATCTTCTCTGCTTAATTGTTAAAATGGATATTCGAATCCTGTTTTTGTTGTTATATTTACAAAAAAAGAAATATTAAAACGCAAGCCTAACAAACACATTTTCCTAAGTGGTTGAATAATGTGTTCAGAGTATAACGATAGAATATAGTATATACGCTGATAATTTGTAAATGAACGCTATCTAGGATATAATGCTGATTGATAAAATAGATTGCATACGTTAGTTTGTTATGTAGTTGATCTATCGAAAATACAAGATTGAGGAAAAGAATACATCTATGTACTAAATACTATCAAGACGAGACGAGATCACTACTGGTATACTTTATTATGTTGTTAGTTCAATAGGTATTAAACAACCGTTTCTATTAATCTCAGACATCGATTTTTTTAATTCAAAGTGCAACGGACTTCAAATTGCTTTCTATTTCATGCTCTTCATCTAGAATTGCTCGGGTTATACTTTTTCAACTTAAAATTGTACAGTAGTGCAGCTGATTCATTGAGATATAGAAGATTGGCGTCAGTATGAAGATGATTTGTTTTGACTTCAAAGTGCGACGAATATCGGTAAGCTTATAATTACTTTACTCACTTTTCTTTATCATGACGAATTCATACATTAATATATAAACTTTTTTTTTTATTATTTCAGTTGTCGAATTACATTCGTCATTTAACAAAACTCAATCCATATGTTATGATTCAACAAAAAGTGAAAGATGCTAGTGACAATATTGTTCAAAATCTTCTATCTATTAACGACAATACAAACACGTCTGATAATCAAATAATCAGTGCTGTATCAGATTCGACTCCATCTAGTCAAACAATATCTTGAAAACGAAAACAAAATAAAATATCTCGATTGTCTTTGTCTAAAAAGAAAAAAATATGAATGTACATTTTTCTGACTAGATTTTTATTTGTGTATAATGTAATCCTTTATTTGTTTTTTGACCTACTTTTAAGCTGCTTTTTTATAATAACATTCATGATATATAGAATACTTAATGTGACATAAAACTGATAGAACTTCTATGACTTAATCTGTTTCATTAGAAAAAATCCAAACTTAATATTCAACATGAATTTGATCACGAGCGTATGAAACATTTGTTTATAACAAAAAATAGTTAAACATCATATAAAATGATCTTTTAGATGATATGATTAACATTAAGAGTCGACTTGTATTGAGTGAAGTTTGAAGGATACTTACTTTGAAAGAATGTCTTTTTTTGTGCAATTTCTGAATGTGAACAGTCTTAATATGAGCATTATCAATTTTTTAGAAAAGTTTTGACAAATGTCAAATTCTTCGTCTGTTAATGATCTAAAAGAAGAAGTTTTGTTCCTTCGTAACGAGACATTTTACAGTCTCGTTAAAGAAAATTGTGGTGATATTGTTCTCGAGATTATGCAAGCTCAAGATATTTCATCAGTTGACTGTCTTCTTGACGTTGGCAACATCTTTACATTTCTGGAACTCGACTCAAATGAGCTGGTACCATTAAAAAAAAGGCAGGAATATTACTTAATGATGGTAGTTTTATAGTAAAGAAAGGAATTTTACACAAAGTCGAAATATTTACTCGAACTCTTCGTGTTCTCAATCAACAACATTCAACTTCTTCTCTTTCTCGTTTAAACAACTGTTCTGATTTAACTATTTCTGAAGATCTCGTTCAAAAGTTTCCATTTCTTTTAACTCTTATCACCTATTCAAATTTCATCATGAAAAGCAAAATTGATTTTACATTTTTTAATCCTATGATGACTAATATAATAAAAAACTCAATGTTAGCGTCTGTAGATGGTGCTTACTGACGCTAAACGTTTATTTTATGTTATCTATTTTTTGAATCTCTGATTTGATTTGTTACGTAATCTCTCAACTATGATTCATCTCGTGATTAT